CCCCAAAACCCCAAAACCCCAAAACCCCAAAACCCCTTCCTAATTTCATATTTTGAAATAAAATAAAATGTCTGAAGCTAACAGAAGATCTGAGGATGGTATCTTTATTTTCTCAAGCATAGAATTTGGAAAGAACTTACAGTCTCAAGTGTCTGATTTGGATGAAAATGTGAATGATCCCCACCAAATCACAGGTAAGCCTCTTTTTTCTAGACCTGAGACAGGCACACTAAGTTCTAATTTAGTTGCTAATAAGTTTAAACCAAGAAATGTTAAATCCAGGGCTAAGCAGAAAAGATCAAGGAACTTAAAGAAACTTCAAGGAATGATTAAGAATCAGGGAGAGACAGTCCCATCTCATGAAATCGAAGATATTTTCACAGTTGAAGGATTCAAGAGCAAGAAAAATGAGAAATAATGTCTTGATGAACTGGAAAAAGTTCATTTCTAATAACGGATTGACTAGGACTGAAAATCAGCAGGCTTCAATCAGCTCTGATACTTTGAGAAGCGGAGTCCAGAAATCTATCATAAAATCTATACCACAAGACCAATATGGGAATCTTATAATTTCTAGAAGAAAGGATTATATCAGGGAAGCTTCTCAGCTTGGATCGAAATGTCCTGGGAATCCGAATGATCCAAAGAGTACTCGGTCGAGCTCAAATTTTCTAACTATCAACACTGATTTGTTATGAACAGGTAGGAGGATTCCTTCTCCTACAGGTCTGAAGACAGTCAAGAATAAGAAAAATGACGCTAATGTACAGAAAACTCCTCTATTTGGGAAAGAGAAATGCTCTAGAGCGATTAAGAGGAGACCTAAGAGTTCAAGGCAGTTTTTGGTTAAGAATAGAGCTCGATCTTCAACTAAATATAGGAGTGATTACTTCCCAGACCATAGAGTAAATTTAGAATAATCTTTTTAGCAAATTGAAGCTGAACGCAAGGAACTAGTTGAGAAAAATAAGGACCGGAATTGGTATCCAGACCTCTGACATTTAGAGAAGGAAGAAGTGATGATAAAGTTATCAGAATTTCAGTGATGGCTGCGATGAAATCAATGCCTCACCTCAAGCCAGTGCTTCACGCTAAGTAATATTTTGTATTATATTTAGCAACAAAATACTTTTAAAGAACTTCAACGACTGCTACGAGCAAGTAAGGAACGAAATCTTGCTCACAAGACGAGCTGGAGACACACAAAAAGAAGGTATTTACACGAAGAAGGATTTTGACAACATGATTCTGAAATAAAGAAAGACTTATTTTAGAGAAAAATGCTGAACTTTTCCCACAAGGAAAATGCAAGATAGCGCTTGAGCTATTTGATAAATATGAGTCTATTAACGCAGTTAAAAGAGAGCCTAGTCAACAGTCAAATAGAAATTATACTAAAAGTATTAGCAAGATAATGAAACCAGAAAGCCCTCGCTTTAGAAGGAAGCGGAGTAAAGCTAAAAGTGCGGCCAGGACTAGGCGCTACCCTGGTTATAAAGAATTTCAAAGATTGTGCAATGAAGTGAAGCAAGGAGGTACTCTAATCTAATGATTGTTTAGAAAATTATGAGATAAAGAGCAATGATACTCTTTATTTAAAGTAAGAATTACATTTATAAATTTAGTCTTCAAAATCAAGAGCCAAAAGAAGAAGAGGGAAGTATATTCGATGATAATTGCCCAAATGATACTCAGAAAGAGTTAAGACAGAATCAGGAGGTTAAAGGTATATTGAGGAATCGCATTGTTATGGAGTCAAGTCTTTAAATTTTGACTTAGGTCAGAAAGGAATGACAGAAAGAGTGCCAATATCAAAACAGAAAAAGATAAAATGACTTTTAAACAATTCTCTCACTGTTCACTCTAATGCAGATAAAGGTAAGCTCTAATGTAATTTTTAGAAGAAAAGAAAGAGAACGCTACTGTTTCTGACTTGGTCTCCGGGACACCTGGTGAGATATCATTATCTATGGGACCAAAGCTTCAGGGTAAGATAGGAAGCCCTGAAAATCGTTTGGATACTCCTTCAGAGCAGATTACTTCTAGAGAATCCAATATATTAAAGAAGAATACTCTACGTTTTAAGCCTCCTGGGGATCAAAAGTTTCAGAAGAGCAAGAATCCTTTGAAATAACAAACTTTTGTCCAAAAGAGATCTTTCAAGAGAGATTTCTGGAAAGAACTCGTATCAAAAGATTACTGAGTATTCTCAGAGTAACCTAAAAGAGCAGAAGGACTCACACAAACCTTCTAGGCAAACAAGAAGCCATATCTCCTCCTTCGAGGTAGACTCGGGAGTTATTGGAGTGGATAATACAGGGGTAGATCTGGTGGGACAAGTGCCTGAGGAAGATATTTATGACTTGATAGCTGAACAAGAGTTTTACAGAGGTATTTCCATCTTTATCTTTTAGCAAAGCAAATGAAATATCACCAGCTCATGGTTAGCAGAAGGCAAGATCATAAGAATTCGAGGGTATTTCCTGGCAAAAGGCCAATTTCTGCAGCAGGCGGGCTCTTTAGAGCTGAGAAAGGATATATGGCAAGGCCATTAAGTGGCAGAGCTACAGTGCAACATCGGCCTAATATGGTATGAAGCCTTGGATTTAGTAGTTTAGAGAGCTTTGAGAGCAAGGAAATCTAAAGATAAGCCTGACCTTGAAATTCAAAATGGGTACAAATGCATGGAAGATAAGTCAGGTATTGGACAAATGCAGCTCAAAACTGCGATGAAATATATATCTGGGCAAACAGTCTTGGCTCAGAACTACCTTACGAACAAAATGAAAAAGTCAAGGTAAATCTGAGAGATAATGCATAGGAATTCTTCTGGTTTTCGCACTCAATCCCATACTAACATAAAAACGGTAGGAGGGTTTGTCAAGGTAAATCCCAAAACTAGACTATGAGAGAAAGATAACTCACATAAAGAGTCTTCAAGAAGCAATTTTGGTGTTCACAAAAGCTCTGAAGATCTTGCAGAGGTAATGTATGACCTAAACAAGCAAGTAAAGTTTCCCATAAAGAACGATATTCCAATCAACCATAAGAAAGCTATTTCTGAGGCTGATAACCCAGTGCTCAGACCGAATATAACTAAAGGGAAGTATAGAAAGGAATCGAATGAGTATTTGTCAAAAGGTAGAAAAGTAGGGAGCCATAACTATAAATAATACAATTTGCCAATAAAGCTGATTGAATATGGGGTTTTGGGGTTTTGGGGTTTTGGGGTTTTGGGG